ATATATATATATATATATATAAAAAACTAAATAGCCAGCATAAAGTTTGCAGCCTTTGCTTTCCAGAGCATTCAAAACCACCTTCAGAAAATCTACATATACACATAATTGTCAATAGCTGAAAGTTTAAAGGAGGATTTTTAAGGAGAATAAGATGATGCTGCATCTCTATGCTTTAAAGGCCCCAAGGGCTTTCCAAGGCTGCAATTAAATGTGGCTTGTTGTATACTGATTGATAGACGGGATCTGAATTATTCCCTAGCTGGTGCTGCATTAAACCATTTTTCATTAGAATTCCTTTTTCCAGACACAGCAATACAAGCTCTGCTGCCAGGTGAGTGTCCTGGGACAGATTGTCCTATCATGTAACAGATCAGGAAGTAAATTTTCATTTCACAGAGGAGTCCTTGGAGGAATATTTTAATTTTACTTCTGAAAACATACCTAGTATATCCTCTTCCTTTCTAAAAATCAATCTGTCTCTCTCTTACACACACACACACACACACACACACACACACAAAGTCCATGATCAGGCTCTAGTTAAATGTAGCCAGTTGAAGGAGTGATGAATAATTACATACCTCATCATCTGCCTGTCGCAACCGGGCAACAGCGTAACGCCTCACTGTTGGATTGGTGTAATGGGAGGATAACAGTTCCAAGGAATCCTCTACATCCATTGGCTTCCATTTTCCCAGAAGTTCCAATGCCTGTTTGGCCTCCTGAGGTAGATCCCAATTAACACATTTCAAGAATTTTGTCAAAGCCTAAAACCAGAGAAGATTTTAAAATTAGAAAACAGCCTTTTACCTGACATAGAAAAGTAAGGTGTTAGGCAGAGTTTCACTTGGTCCTGATGGAAGAGTTATAGAGTGAACGGTAGATGATTTGTGTAACACTAAACAAAGGTATACATATGATCCCTGAAAAACACTGGACAGGAGAGAAAAGGAAAAGCATGTTTCCTCTAACTTTACATTTTTCAGGTCAAACCGATTAAAGGGCACTATGAATTTTAAGTTTAGTTGACTTTTCTTCATTTCACTTTTTTATTTCAAAATGCTGCAGGTCTCAAGATATGGAAATAATTGAGGCATGCTTCATCAACTCTGAGATGCCTCAGAGACAACATCAACATGTGACATAAAATACTGCTAATCAATGAAAGAATCCAAAGCCAAGCCAGGGTAGACTTCCCACCATTGGCCCCTCCCCAGCCCCTCCCCAGGGTCACTGGGTTCCCAGATACTCACACATGAGGACTAGAACCAAACTCAGTATGTAAGTCTTTCTTACTCAGAGAGGCACTATCTAAAAAGACGATCAAAAACTCCACAGAAACAAGCATAAAATATAAAAACAGTGGCAAATATTCTATGATTCAGCTGGCTGTAGCATTTGTTCTGGAACCTCACAGATAGGTAGTATACTGAAGTTTTCACAAGACTGAGGCAAGTAAATTACCTTGGAGCATATAATTCATGGTTGCATACATAACAAATGCTCTTTAAAGAAAGGTGCATACCTGTTTTCCATAAAAAGTAATTTCCATTGATGGGTCTCCCTACTGGAAACTCCTTCCTGACTGATTTTAAGACATTTCTTCTTTCTCTTCCTCTATGAATTCATTTCTTTAACAAAGATAACTTAAAATCTTTAAATTCCTGCTCTGCCCAACTAAAATCTTTTCATTGGTAAACTACTGAAGTTCTCAAGAAAATGTCTACTTGGACAACAAAATACAACTACTGGTTAGTCTGACAAAATGAACCTGCAGGCCCATCCCCTTATTCTTGATGTAACTAAATTAAGAAAAAAGGCACTATAGAAATTACACACAATTTAAACATTAGACTAAACAATCTCAGAAAATTATGTCAACCTCAAACAGTAGACAAGCTAGACCTAAAATCCAGATCAACTGACTCTCACGGATCTTCCATCACATGGTTCCTCCTTAACATTATGGCACTGCCACCTCTCCAAGTTAGCTGTAAGTCCATGCTGCTTTGGAGCAATGATTCCACTAACACTAATTTCGTAAATCCATTCCAGTTCCTGTCAATTATTTCCTAGCAATATTCCCTATATCTTCCCCTTACCTCGATTTTCACTATACCACACATGTGGAGTTTGGCACAGGCTTCTTACCATTAGTTTCTCTTCTAATCATTTCATACAAATTAACAAAAGCTTAAGTTAAAAGTGATTTTAGCATGAACCTCCCACTCTCAGCAGATATTTACCTCAACCATGAAAAGCCCCAAAATTTACTTAAGTAATTCCAGTGAATAATTTCCAAAGGACCCATTATATTTATAGACAGTGAAGCCATTTTAGCAGCTGTTTTTTTAACAATAACGAACCAAAAGGTAACCAAAAGTGTCTTCTTGTATCTTCTTCCCATTGGTCAGTTTCACTGTCTGGAGAGAATGAGAGGAAATTTTTGAAGAATACTGAATATCTGAAGATGACTGTTATATTGCTATACTTTGGTTTCCAATGAGATGATAGAGTCACCCTAGCTTGTAAACTGGCAGACATAAAAACAAAACCTTGGCTTCTCAAAAACATTCCACTGATATCCATCAACTATCCAAACTTCTACCTCTCTTTAAGCTAATTCTCACTGCCCTTCTACACTTCAACCAAGTTAACCTATTTTATACATAACTGTCTATCTCCTCTCTACAACTCTTCCTTATGCTCTTCATCTTAAGGCCAGCTTTCCAAACTTAACTTATCCAGGAAGTTTTCAGCAACTTTCAGCTCATCAGCAACTTAGTAGTTGCCTCAATTTTACTACCTTCATTTAAATAATGACCTAACTGCCAAATGCTTTTGTGGCATTCTTACCTCTACAACTAGAGTCTGCTTTCCCCATAGACAGCTACCCATTTCTTCTGCACCTCCTGCACACCAGTAAGTACAGTGCTCCCTCTCCATAAAGGAACACAGACTGCTTTACCACCTTATTCCATGTATTGCTGGTTTCTAAATATATGTCTAGGTTGAATGTGAACAAAGCAATACTTCTAAAATAACTACAGTGAAAGCTTTCTCATTGCACAGTACATAAGCAGTCTTAATACAAATGTGTGGGTATGTAATTATAAGGAAATTTAGCACCATGCCCATGCACTCAATTCAATAAATGAAACTATCTTAACTTCTAGATTCTCAGATTTGTAGACTTACCAGTAAGATTTATTGAGTACCCTGCTCCTAAGGAAGTTAAGGCACTACACAAAAAATTTCACAGCTGTATAATGCTAAATGTTAGATGTAAGCAAGGAGGTAGTAGAATGAAGAAGGAAACAAGAGGAAGAAAGAGAAAGAAAAAAGGATTGAGAATTTAAAGAGAAAAATAATAATGATACTTAATCTCAGGCCCTTTAAAGACACTGTATTGATCTTTGTAAAATAAAGGTACAGGATACAAATGCATTTTCTCTCTAGAGGTTCCACAGACAGCTGGAGAGTACAAGCTTTAGAGGCAGAGTGTTTGGGGTTAAATACTAATTCCCAGCTCCATCAATTATTAGCTGAGTCACTTGGAGCCAAGTGTTAAACTTTAAAATAAACCGTCTCATAACGTTTGTGATAATGATAAAGTTATTGAACGCATATGTTTAGAACAGCACCTTGTATATGATAAATATCTTATGTTATTTATCACTATTATTCTATTTCTGATATTGAGCTCAACATCAAATGTTAACATTACTGCAGTTATTACCATGCCTTTTTTTAATAGCAATAAATAAATAAGTATTTTGTTAACCTCCCTTCTGATCTTAGACTCACCTCACTGTTACCTTTAGTTGTTAGAACCATGATCACTTCAAATTGTATTATCATACATATTTCTAATCTTAACTTCTACCAACTCAATTATTGGAAATTTCTACCTTACTGATAAAGGAAAACCTTTTCTTCAACCCAAGAAACTTCTGACCACAAATGTGTGGGTTTCTCATACCAACCAATTCCTTAATTCTCTGAGGACACCACTGGGTGTGTCCGACAATTTAATTTAGTTCTAACACTAACCAACTGGAGCCAAGGCAGATTCCATAGGATTAAGAGGTCAGTCACACAAGACTGCTAACCATTTCAGATGCCCATCAAAAATTCTGGGTCCCCAGGTTGCCCAAGCTTCTGTTCTACTTGGCTGCACATCAGGGATTCCCAAAAAACTCTCACATTTGAAAATCTACTACAATGGCTCACAGGTATGGCTGAAAGGAGATTATGGGTAAGAAAAAACACTCCTTCCTAGTGTTTTAGAAACTCTGTGCCAAGAACTGGGGATGAAGAACACATATATATTTCTTATTGTATCACAGTGTCACACTTGTTATTCTAATACTTCAGATTCAAGCATTCAAAAGTGAAAGTATCTCATCACCTTGCTTTTTCCACTTGCAATATTTCCTTATTTCAGTCACTCAGACCTAACTCCAGGGAGTTGTCTCCAAGTCACCTTATACATTTTCCTCTCCTTCCCTTGCCCTCCAGAATCATTCTCAAAATCAATACATGAGCCTCCTAATTATATTTTTCTTCATTCTCAGCTCTGCTTCAATCCTTTCTGATTCATCTTCTTTAAAGCGTAACTTAAGACATATTCTGTTCCTTCAGTGGTTTCTTACTGACAGTGAAATCCAACTCCCAAGCTTAGAACTAAGGTTTGTCACAAACTGACTCCATCTTTTCTATTCAATAGCGATTCATATAAACTTTTTTGTCCCTGAGCCTAACACTCTGCTTTACTCATGCTTTTTTCTCCATGAAAAATTATCACCAAATAAAAAATATCATCAAAGCTTTAAGACCAGTCTTTGCTCTACGAAACCTCCTCTGTATCACAGCACACAATGAACTTGATTTTTTATTATATTACCTAAATGTTCCCAAAAAAAGATCCCTTAATCAATTACTATCCTATAGCTTTCAATTTTGATTATGTACAAATATCCTTTTCCTTAAACAGTTTTGATTTATATGAAGACAGAGAAATGATGTCTTGTATAAAGCTAGGCCAAGAATTGATAACAAATACTCACTGAAACAAATTCATTTCTGCTTGTCAGGAGGCACAATTTCGATTATTATCCTTATATCACTGTCTCATTAACTACTTCATAAGCAGCCCCGTAAGAATATTCAGTGCATCTCTATTACCTTTAGTACATATGACTCCATCTGCTGCTTTTCTCCAAATATAATAGAAAGGATTTAAGGTCAGTTTTAACTAACATTTTTATAAGAAGAAAGGCCATTCGCCATGGTAAAACCTGGTTTTGAAAAGTTAAAATATTCACATTTTCAGTTCTGTAATAATGAGTCATTTCCAACATGCTATGGAGCACAAATTTGAAGATACTTTATAAATTTAACTGGTTTTGTTAGACAAAGTTCTTATTGTGAACTTCTTAGCTGCAAAATCAAGTCCAGCCTAGAGGGTTTTCATCCAAAATACTTAAGACAGGTCATTTACAAAAAAGGGGTGGAAAGACCAAATGTAATTAAAAAATAAGTAAGAAGTATAATAAATCTCAGATAACACACTGGGGAAATTTGTTCTTTCTACTTTTTCTCTAGGAAATCTTTTCAGCCTCAGGGCTCAAATGCCAAATAACCTAAATCACTGTTCCTGAGGAACTGATGCTGAAAGAATTTCTTTGTGTAAATAAATTAAGGGATGGAAAACAGGAGCATTTGTTTTCCACAAAACCCATTTTAAATTATTACAAAGATACAAATGTGGCTATGTGAATAATTCCTCTGGTCACTTCAAGGCCAATATGTATTTGGTTTACTGAAAGTGCTTCCCGAACATTAAAAAATATTGTTCACTCTACTCTAGTGATCATAAGAACCCTATAATATGTCCTGAGAATTGAAGTTTCATCACCCACCTTTCGAAAACTTGAAATCAACTAGTTAAATGAAACTTGTCACACACTTTATATCACTTGAGCATTTCATTTCTTTTCACATATTTAGAAGTAATTGAATTTCAGTGGAAAGTGACTACTTGTTTAAACAAACAATTTTTCTTGCAAGCCTTTCGAATATCTAAGGCAGTTCTGCTCTGTAAATCTATTCTATGCTTCTTGAACCTACACATTCTAACAGGTTTAATTCAATATCTTGCTGTGTATTTTAGACAACACTGTGCTGCATTCAACATGCAATTTCTGTGACCAAGGTTATTCTTCATTTAACAGAGTACCAAGAACTAACTCAATCTTTTGGTAGAACACAAAATTACAAATCTGTGCTTCTATTGATGAGTATTTCCTTTTTTGCAGTGATGAAGAGAATAATATTCAAAACTATGGCACATTTGAAATTCTTCTCTCAGTCTTGTTAGAGATATAAAAGAGAATGAATGATTCATTGCAAAGAATTTCCCAATGCATCAATAAAAGATAAAGAGGAAAAGATAAAAATGAGCTGCAACTGGATTTTTACCTTTATTTTTAAAACTAAAGGAAATACAGTTGTTTCAGAAAAACAAGTTATACAAAGTGGCTAAAGACTATCTTAAGAGATTGTAAAACATATTCATTCATTTTCACATAATTATGTAACAGCCTTCTGACAAATACTAGTTTTTCTGATGCTTCTCTGTTTTGCCCCCAGTGCATTTCAGAATTTCTAAGGCATATACATGATGCTGCAAATATCTGTACAATCTTTTTTTCAATGTCTTCACTGGCTACTTTCTCTTCTAAATAAGACTCAAGTGTCTTTACCTGTACAACAGTAACAATACCTATGTTGTGGGGTTGTTGTGGGATTTAAAAGATCCCTGGTACATGGTGGCTATTTAACAGATATTGGTTGTTATTATTTATTAGACCTTAAGGGTTAATCCTTGAACCTATGTTCTAAGAATTAAAAGATTATTTTAAGAAAGACAAGAGACTTAGAGTTCCCTGTCATTTAATCAACTCATATTAAATATGAGGGAACTAAAGCCTAGTGAAGTAATTTCTTCAACTTCTTAAATTTCTTCTTAAAAAAGCTTCTTAATGGCAATAGTAAGACCAAAACTAAGTCTCCAAACTGAAGTCTAGAGATACTTCACCACAATTCTCTCCAGAAACTATCTTCTCCACAGTTTCATTATGGAAAGCAAATGTCTGGTTCTGACCTGACCTCTATCCTGCCTGCATGCCAAGCTGGACGTCACTCCATGAACTCAATTCACACATTTCAAATTAAATTTCTCATACTCTCTCTTGCCATGTTTCCTCCAGAATTCTATAGTTTTTTTAATGATGTGAATATTTTTCTAGTCACCCAGGTTCAAAGAGGCAAGAAGGAAGATAGAAGTGAATCAAAATTTACTCTGCACTATTATGTGCCAGGTACTCGGCCAGGCTACTCATCTACATTATCTCACCTGTAAAGGAGGGTTGTTATTAGAAAAATGAGGAAACCAAGCTTCCAAAGCAATTTGCCTCACATTACCTAGTTAGATGAGCAGTCGTGCCAGAAACTGAACCCAACTTTCTCTGACTTAACCCATTTAAATACCGCCTATACACTAACAGGTAGTACGTGTATCTTTGTGTGTATATACCTTTGCAATTTTTAAACATGAGAGTATTATATATATTGCTCTACAACATTTTTTTTTAACAATAACTGTATTTCCATAGTAGTTTTACCTCATTCTTGTTCATTAGCAACAAAGTTTGTAGATAAATTTGATATATGAAAATAATCAAGAAACTCACTTTTTCTTGATTAGTAAGATAGTATCTAAACTTCCAAACAAGATCTTGTTCTTCATATGTAAGTTGCTTAGTTGGTGGATAACTCACAATAATCTACAATAAAGAAAAGAAAAAAAAAAAAAGAATTAACTTTTGTCAAATATATTCTCCTATATATTCCATTTCCTTTGAAATTTTTCATCTATTTAAATGTTTCTTTAATAGAACTATACAGTAGCAAGGAGAATGTATATGCAGTTGAGAAAAAGAGTAAGAGTTAAATCTGCTGCACTCATCAGTCCAAAAAGGATAATTATTAGAGTATAATGGGAATAAATGATGAGACAAAAAAGTCCAATTCTATATAAAAGTGTCATTATAGAGTTCATTTACTTCAACCAAAACAAAACAAAGTAGCAAAAGTATCCCTCCTGGCAAAAAAAGGAAAACACCCAAAAAATAAATGTTTCTCTTGTCTAGTCCATGTACCACCATCACATGAATGTACACCAAGGCCTCTCAGGCAAAGTACCTTAGGGTCAGTCAATAAGAATGCTAAATCATGGCAGTATATATTATTTGTAGCTCTGTCTCTATGTCTCTATATTTACTGAAAACCCCAGAAGTATAATAAAACTACAGAAATATGAAATTGCTGAAATTACAAAGGATTCATTAACCTGAAAAAAATACATATCTCAATACTTGCAAGTGAAATCATCAGATGCAACTAAAATAGCCATTTAATTATTTTTACATGAATATTTTATAACTTCTCTTACATTCAGTTGATCCCTTGTGGCAGCATTAGGTTTGAGATCATGGTCAGAAGGTCCACTTCTTAAACTTCGGGCAAGCTTGTGGTGTTTGCTCTCAACTAAATTTTCCTGCAAATTATTTTAAAATATTAACCAACAATGTAAACTTCACCAAAAGGAAGTTTCAATAGACAGAAATAAAAGAGTAAACAGTTGTTTATTTAAGACTATTTTTTAATACTTAACATTTTCTTCTCATAATAACTTTAGTCTCCTCTGTATCCTTAAAATAAATCTCCATTTTGAGGTAGGGAAACAAAGCAGGCCTTTGGCTTCACTAGCACCCTAATATGCACATCATTTCAGTTTCTGGAAACACCTATACCTCATTCTCCACATATTCAAGGTTTTCACATCCTCCGTTCCCTCAAGTATCACCTTCACTCTGAAATCTTCCCTGACAACCCAGACTAACACAGTCCCTCTTTCCATGAGCCACTGGTGACCATGTGGTAGCACTTACTGCCTGCCAGGAGTAACCAAGGGCAGGGACAGCGACCATAATGCTTAAATAAACATATCTGACATTAACTATCTTACAGCCAAAATTAGTTTTCAATATACACCTTTGCTTAGGGGACTATTTTATTTTTGCATGTGTGAATTGTCTGCTTATGCCTTTTTGCTGATTTTCAACTGGCTTTTTGGTCCTTTGTTCCTCAGTTTTTAAGAGTTCTTTATAAAAAGATACTCAGTCTTTTGTGACATATGTCAATAGATTCTCACATTTTGTCAACTGTCTTTTGACTGTTACGGTGTTTTTGCCATGAAATAGTTTTAATGCAGTACAACTTATCAATCATTTTTATTGTCTCTGGATTTTGAGTCATTGTTAGAATAACTTCCTTTACACTGAGAGTAAAGGGCTAATAAGTTTCACTTTTTAACATTTGAAGTCCTGACCTATTCTGAATTTTTCTCTATGTGCAGTGTGAGGTATAGATCTTAGTTTTCTTTTTCCAAATGGCTAATCAATTTCCCAGCACTATGCTCCAGTGACAAAATGAACTTTTATTACATATTAATTTCCATATGTTTGTGGATCTATTTCTGGACTTTTTATTCTATTCTATAGTCTATTTGTATATGTATATATGTTAGTACCACACTATAAATATACAAATTTTGTAGTCAGTTTTATTGTCTGATACAATGGTATACCAGCTAAGTGACAGTTTCTTTGTTAAAATACATTTCTCTACAAATAAATAATCCTGACTAAAAACAACTAAATTGTTGAGCGCAGAGGGTAAAGAGGGTACTTTTATTTTTTTATCGTTTCATTCTTGCTTGCATTTAAAACTCACAATTTTTAACAAATGCCCTAGTTCGTTTTTAATTACAGCAACCATAATGTTAAAGTTGTAATTACTGATGAGAATTTTCTTTATAAAAGAATATACTAAATATATAGACATCTCATCTATCTGACATTTTAGTAGGAGTTACACAAAAGCAGTTATCTGTGGTCCCAATTATGATACTTATTTATTCAGCCATTTCAATGGTAACCACAAACATCCATTCTTGTGTTTCAAATACCAAAAATGCAAAATATAATTTGATTTTATGAAAATTCTGTGTTAGCTTTAGATATATTAACTTGATTTTATTATTCTATGAATAGGAACTGTAAAAGTATTTAGGGTGTTAGTTTCTAAAAGATTCCCAAGTGACCCTTTTTTTCTAACTTTTTATACTCCTTTCTCCTATCTCTTCTTTTGATATTAGACCATCAGACATTACTTCATGCTTTAATAACCTGTATTTACCTCCATCATATTTTTATTTTCCAATGTGCTACTTTTAATATACTTTGGTCTGATTAGGAAGGGAATAAAATAGAAATGCATAAAAAAGAATAAAATGATGTAACATTTTAACATCATTGTAATACAGTACAGTGATGTAAATGTATTATAAGTATAAATATCGATCTATTGCACTGCTAAAAGGATTTTTTTGCTAGAACTTTCTAAATCTGAAGTCATCTAATAAAACTTTTGTTGCAAAGTACGAATTCTTGTCTCATATCCCTGAGACATTCATTTCAAAATCATCCAAGTCATATGATCCAAAGTCAACAGTTCTAGTAACTTGATGATCTTTCCTATTTTTTAACAAAATCAGTCTCCCTAAAATTTTCATCCATGGATCTCAGAGGTACCTCCTGGTATAATAAACAAGTTCCACTTCTGCTCAATGACAATTTTTTCAAATCCTTATTCTCCGAAGTCCTCACTTCAAGACTATAATATCCCTAGATCTTTCAATAATTCAGATAAAATGGCTCCCTGAGACTACGGTATTCTGACCTTATTTTTAGGTGTTAATATTTCTTGTGAAATTTCTAGCTGAACCTGATTACAGATAGCTGAAATCACTTTTAGGTAACTAAGTTAACCACAGATACACTTTTTAAAAAGAAAATGTATAATGTAGATCTAGGTCATAATCACTCAGGTAAAAAGCACTTTCATAAGAAATTTGACAAAAACTCACCATAGACATCTGAGGGTCAGGAACTTTCACTATCTCAAAGCTTGTTAAAATTGGAGATGATTCATCACCATCCTTGATTACAGTGTGACAAATTAAAACAATAAATAAATAAAATTAAACCAAATGGTACGATACATGATAATGTACACTCCAATGTATTTTAACTCTATATACTGATCATTCCTCCCTTAAAAAAAAAAATCTTCTTTCAACTATATTTTAAAATATGTATCCATCTTTTACCTTTTGTTGCTGATGAAGTATTTTGAAAAAGATAAATATAACAATAAAAATTTGTATTATAATTTTTAGAGATATGAGGTCTGGAAGATTATATTTGTCATTTATTTCTGATTTTGTTTATAATGACAGTGGGTCAAAAATAGTATGTCCTAATTTTCAAACTTAAAACAAGAAACCAGAATATAATTAAAATATGCCACAATGGATGTGTTTCATCATTTGCAAAAACAAGTAAGTATATGTTGTTAACTTCAAATTATGACATTTGAGTTCCATTCAAAGGAGCAGAATTTTAAGTGTCGGGCTAATGTTCCTCGATTTTATACACAGCTAGAGATGCAACAGCACTGCCTCTTGGAGGGACACTTACTCAATACAAGGTATACTTGAATAACGAGAATCAATCCATCGATTCTTAAGAAATAAAGCTGTCTTATTTTGTTGGCATTATCATTTTTGAGGAATGTTGACTTTAATTTTTGTCCAATTCAGTCAAGAAAGGAAATTCAGCATAATAAATGTCACTGCATACATATTGGAAAAGGCTAAACTAATTAAGGTCAAAATTCGTTCCCTCACAATTGTACAGCTAACATCAAATTTTTCTGTCAATTTCTAAATGCTAGTGTATTTTCAATTTTAGATACGTGCAACAAAATCAGGAGAGACCAAAAGAGGGGCAGTATTATGACTTTACTTTAGGTCAGTAATTGAGTCTCACCGAAAAACACAAATTCCCACAGCCCTTGTTTACCAGGCTGGTTCTCAGTCATAAGACCAGAAAACACATTCATCAGCCTAAGTGTGACAAGTAATCTTCACTAAGGCTATCTGTCCCAAAAGACAGGTGACAAGAAAGTCTGTTTCCATTAGATTCAATACACTGGCCCAGCAATCTTTACACTAAGTGGAAATATGACAGGGTAGGTAGACAGGCATTAATTTATGGGCAATTTTCAAGAAGCAGTAGAAAGGGGTCAAGAACCTTTTCAAAAATACTTGAAATTCTTCTAATTTCCATTCTGTTATCATTTCATCTATTTTCAAAGCTGTCTTTCAAAAGATCCTTCACATCTCCAGTGTTTCAAAGTAACATCTCCATTAATATGTGTTTGCAGTATAAACTCCATATGGGCAGAAATAAAGCTTTTAAAAAAATCACATATAGTATAAAATGAAAAGTCTAATTTTATTAAAATGCATTGGTGACAAAACAATTTCACTCACCGACATTTCCCTTTCTTTTTTAATGTAGTCTTTCCAATGAATTACTAAATGATATTAAATAGACTATCCTCCTACCATCTTTTCATTCCCAGGGAGTATCTCTTATAAGATAAAAAATTGAAACAAGTTAACTTTTCCTATGCTGTTACTAAAGGGAAGGGGTACAAGCTAAAGGGAAAAAAATATGAATGTTAACTTGAAAAATAATAGAAAAATGATCATAAATTAACTATATAAACCCTGAACCTGCATTATGAAAACATCTTTCAACTAGGTGAAGAGGATAAAGTGGTACTAACTTCTGATTATAAAATAATTAAGTCACAGGGATAAAGTACAGTATAGAAAATATAGTCAACAATACTGCAGTGACTTTGTATGGTGACAGATGGTTAACAGTTATCATGGTGAGCGTTCATAATGTATATAATTATCAAATCACTATGTTGTACACCTGAAACTAATATGACATTGTATGTCACCTATTCTTCAATAAAACAAAAAAAGACAAAAATAGTAATAGTTATAAATATGTATTTTAAAATAAAACTTGTAACAACTTTAATAAATAAAGTATAGGTGAAATTTAGAAGTGCTGCTAGAGGAAATATTATTCTGTTGAAGCTATATATCAAAAGTCTATCCTAACACTGATTTAAGTACTTGTCTAAGTATTTCTACAGTAATACCTGGTTTATATGATTTTGAACTATGCATACAATTATTTCAGTAGTATATAAATGAAGACCCTTCAACAAGCATTTAAGGTACAGATATTTTTCAAGCTACATATCAAAACATATAACTACTTACTTTCGCATAATGAGGAGACCAGAGTAAATCCTAACCACATATTTGCTATCACTCAGCCTATTGATAACACGGTTTTCTAAACCCTGCACATAGTACATAATTAATGGACATTTATTAAGTCTTTCATCAGCATACATAGGGTTGTATATACAATTCCAATACACTATATACATATTCTTAATAATAAACACATCCTTAACTTTCAACAGCTTACCACTTTTACAATTCCCTCTTTTTACTTTTCAAATGAATACTGTTAATAAAGCTATTGCTTTTATGTCCTACATGCCAATTTGCAAAACAATTAATCAAAAAGTTTTTAATCTCTTGCACATTTACTGAATTCTGTAACCCAAACTGCATTACATGAATAATCTTGTTGTGCTGATATGATCTGATTTGTGATAAACAGCTGCTTCTGACAGCTGTCTGCTGCTATCCTGCAACCAAATAATTCATCTCAGCAAGAACAGTAATTTTTTTAATGTTCCCCTCCCCTCTACTTTAGAGACCATAAACAGTTCCAAGGTAAATACCTTTTCATAATAAACAATACCATATTCCTTATCATCACACTTGACACATCGAAACTCAACCATCAGGTACATGAAATTAGAACTTCGTTTTTCACTCTAAAAAAAGAAAAAGTTAGATTTTTATGTAAAATAATTATCATCAAGATTCTAAGGATCAGTATATTCATTATTCTCAATTCAGCAGCACATAGATCTATGAAGTACACTTTAAAATGTAACAAATGTTTATGAAATTGTTATAAACACATGGTTTTATGTGGTGCTACTATTTTATTTTATACAGCAAACTATTTTATGCAGTAGTGTCTATTTTTCACTTATAATTCCTTCCTGAAACTTCATATTTTTGGGTTCTTAGTGTCTGAATTTCTTGAAGGTTATTTTGTATATATTTGCATAAGATCTACTTTATTTCAAAAATAAAGATGTTTTGTACTTGTAAAAATTTCAAGCAATTTAACAGTGTACCTACCCTTAAACCACATTACTAACTTAACTGTAGAAATTAATATAACAAAATCAAAAGTAAAACAATGTAACCAAGGACAGAGGCCACTTGAGCTTAACAGACATAACCTTTACACAGTTTTCTGAATTTATAAATGGTCTTAAGATGGCTTGGAGTCATTTGTAAACTTTTATTTACAGTATACCTTCAGTATACTGGGGAATAGTTACTTCTTCCCAACATAAAAAATGATGATTGTGTGTATGTACAAATGTACCCCCTTAAAAAAAAATGCAGTGTTATTAAAATGAAAATAAAATGAAAACTAAAAGGCTGATCAGTCTTAACTCAAACACTTTTAAAAATGATTTTAAATCTGTATGTGTAAAATCGTAAGAGTCTAAAGAAATCATTTAAATTGTTCAGTTTTATGCAGCATATTATTGTCTATTATGGTAATGGTCTCCTATCTTTTAAAGAGAGGAGGCAGGGAGGGTGAGAGGCTGGGCAAAGTAAGCCCTAACATTACATTTTCTACAACCAAGGATATCTAAGTTGAATAGAAAAATGTAAGTAGGCATTTTGATCAAACTACTTTTGGAATTTGACTATCATAAAAATTCAAAAAAAGTAAACTTTTCTTCCAGTTTCAGCATATTAAAATATATTATGAATGAATTTAGAAAAGAGACTCAATATTCATACTGAATATAAATGTTAAATACCACTAATTTGTTTTCAAAAAATGAACAGTGCCAAGACTTTAAAAATTGTTCACTGTAAACCTAAAATTTTTCTCCCTACTCCCTGAAAACTATTCAGAGAATATAAATTAAGTCAGTTGTGCCCTATGGTAATCACTATAAGCTAGGCATATCACAAAATTGACAATTATTCTCTCCTAATATGACTAATTAAGTTGTGATTTCTGCTCTCTCGACACAGAATATTAGGTGCAATATCTCATATGTCAGTGCAAATAAACAAATTAAAAAAATAAATTTTTGTTCTAACTCTGAAGAGTTTCATTGAAGACATCTTTTAATTAAACATATTCTGGACCAATATACAAGATCAAGAAATAAATAAATTACCTGAACCTTGTTAACTTTTTATCAGCCTGCAGAGTCCTCTATGTAATACATTAGACACATACTGTCTTAACTGAGTAGAAGAATGGCTAACAATAACCTAAGGTAACTGGAGAAGAGGTAGCACTGTGTTGAAAATTTATCTAACACTTGGACTTGAACATAAGCGGCCACATGTAGAGAGAAATAAACAAAAGTGAGACATCAAGCTTAAGAGAGGATTCATTTATTATAAGATAATTACTACACTTATGATACCCCTACCTACTTCATGGTTCAGTATGACATTAAAATAAAAGAAATACAGATATCCCATTTCCACTTCTTAGCATTAAACTCACAACTACAGGTTATCCTCAGTACTCCCATATTTCTGGATACCTGGCAACAGACCTGGAAAACTCTTCTAAAAAATTCTTGGTTTAGAAGTCTAGAGATTTTATTTTAAAATAAAAAACAGCAATATAACCCACCTCATTTATCATTTCTATCTCTCTAAATGTCAATCTGTCCAGCCAATCTACTTTCACCATGTGTCCTTGTCGATGAGCTTTGGTAAGCTGTAGAACAAACACAACAGAGAAGATTTTAACACAGGCTCACAGGAAGGAGGATTAAGAACAATAATTATCACCTACATGACACTGGAAATTCTAGCTAATGCAATAAGACAAGAAAAAGGAAATAAACAGTATACAGATTGAGAAGAAAAAATAAAACTTTTTATTTGCACATGACATGATCACCTACGTGGAAAATGTGAAAGAATGGACAAAAAAACTCCTGGAACTAATAAACAATTACAGCAAGAGTGCTGGATGCAAGGTTAATATATAAATGTCTATCAATTTCCTATATACCAGCAATGAACAAATGGAATTTGAAATTAAAAACAGAGTATCATTAATACCCTAAAAAATGAAATTGGTGTGAAGTCTATACAATTTGTATAATCTATAAAATTTGTACAAGATCTATATGAGGAAAACTACAAAACTCTGAAAACAAAGACAACTAAATAAATGAAGAGGTATTCTATTCATGGACAAGACTCAATTTTATCAAGACAGCAATACTTTCCAATTTGATCTGTAAATTCAATGCAATCCCAGTCAAAATTCCACAAAGTTATTTTATGGATATCAACAAATGATTCTAAAGTTTCTATGGAGAGTCGAAAGACCAAGAATGACCAATATAGTACTGAAGAACAAAACTAGAGGACTGACACTACATATCTTCAAGACTTATTATAAAGTTCAGTAATTAAGAAGGTGTAATCTTGACAAAAGAACAGACAAATAGATCAATGGAATATAACAGCCCAGAAATAGACCACATAAATAGACTCAACTGACCTCTGATAAAGGACTAGATGCAATACAATGAAGCTATACAGTCTTTTCAACAAATGGTGTTGGAACTGGACATCCACATGTAAAAAAAAAAAAATGAATCTAAACACAGACCTTGTGATTTTCATAAAAATTAACTCAAAATGGATAAGAGATCTAAATTTAAAACACAAAACTACAACACTCCTAGAAGATGAGGAGAAAACCCAGAAGATCTTGGGTATGAAGACCACATTTTAGATGCAACACCAAAGGTACAATCCATATTAATCACTGATAAGCTGGACTTCATTAAAATTAAAAACTTATGCTGTGTGAAAGACACTGTCAGAAGAATGAGAAAACAAGCCACAGACTGGGAGAAGATATGCAAAAGACAAACGTGTTGTCGAAAATATTCAAAGAACTCTTAATCTTCAACAGTAAGAAAATAAGCAACCTGATTTAAAAAATGGACCAGACATCTCAACAGCCAACTCTCCAAAGATACACAGATGGCAAATAAACATATGAAGATGCTCCACATGGCATGCCATCAGGGAAATGAAAATTAAAACACTGAGATGCCACTAAACACTTATTAGAATGGGCAAAATTTGGAACACTGACAACACCAAATGCAGGTGAGGATGTGGAGCAACAGGAACTCTTGTTCATTACTCATGGAGATGCAAAATGGAATGGCCTCTTTGGTAGATAGCATGGCAGTTTCTTACAAAACTAAACTACTCTTACTAATGATCCAGGAATTGGCACTCATTATTATTTACAAAGGTAAATGTCCTTTGGGTAAATATGTCCACATAGAAGTCTGCACATGAATGCTTATAGCAGTTTTACTGTGAAAGCAACTAAAATGTCCTTTATTACGTGAATGGATAAATGTGATACATTGAGACAATGCAATTTTATTCAGCACTAAAAAGAAAAGAACTATCAATCCATGAAAAGACCTGAGGAATACTAAGTATATTTTACTAAGTGAAAGAAGCTTAGAAAAGTCTACATACTGTATGCTTCTGAATATATGACATTTAACTGGTTTCCCAGGGCTAGGGGCGAAGAAGGCATAAATCAGTGAAGCAAAGAGGGCAGTGAAACTACTCTATATGATACTATAATGATGGATAAATGTCATTATACGTTTGTCCAAGCCTGTAGAATATATAACACTAAGAGCGAACTCTGAAGTAAACTATGGACTTTGGGTGATAATGCCATGTCAACGTAGGCTCATCAGTTTAACAAATGTACCAATCTGGTGGGGGGTGTTCCTAAAGAGGGAAATTCTGCATGTGTGAGAGCAGAAGGAACATGCCAAATCTTTGTATCTTTCTCTTAATATTACTGCAAACTTAAAACTACTCTACAAAAATAAAATCTAAAAACCTTAAAAAAGAAAAAAAAAGAATGGTAATGTCACATTCACATTTGATACATTCCTCTACATAAAGGAAATACACAATCATCAGGCAAGAAATGGACCTGGCAAGAAACAAATCATTGTTTTTTTAGAGAAAAACAATTTTAAAAAATTTTAAGGTATACCATCTGCTATCTACACACACTAAAAAATCACAGTCTTTCCTGAAAGTCTCTATGTTCTATATGTCTTGTACCTTTGATTATCACATAGGGAATTATAGTAAGAATAGTTCCTCAAATGGGACATAAACTATTTTTTCTATTTTCTTCTCATCTTTCAATCTAAAAAGTACTATAAAAAAATAAGGCAGCTACATACAGTAAGGTATTTCTCTGAGACCTATAATTTAGTACTCTAAGATTTAAGCATGTAAGTGCCTTAATTTTAAGAAACAGTGATAAAAAAATCAGCAGTAATAAAATAATTAGCAATAATTAAAAATTCCTAGGAATTTTTAGAGTCAAATTTCTAGCATTCCATTTTCAAACTGTCATTTTGGAACTCACATCTACAAAATCCAAGTATTAACTTCTATTCCTATCCCAAAATTCAAATAAGACAATGGATGCAAAATATGACAGCAGTAATATTTCATGTAGTCTTTAAGGAATTATATTCTGACTAATTTTGCAACATGTTTCAAATTCATTTTTTAAATTAATGAAAATATAAAGGGCCATATTATTCCTCTGCTTTTATGAGCAAAATAACAGTAAAAATCATTAACAAGAGTGTATTTACTTACTAAACATTGATAGCAAGATGAAAAGAAAAACAACATTAATTTACATACCAAATTTTTGGCATTTGTTTTACTTAACTACACTATGAAGGAGACAGTTCTGACCCCAAATTGTAGATGACTATCAACTATTACAACTAAGTGGCAGGACAAGGATTTAAAACCTGAACTCTACATGACTCTAAAGTCCTACATCATACTCCTTCCACCAGTCTTTGCTATCCCCTTTATTGATGAAATTGTTAAGTTCAACTAATTTCTGTAATGTATCAAATGCTATTTTCATATTTATGATACAGTAGTTAATTCCCACTAGTTTTCTCTGAGGAAAGAACTGGTAATAGCAAAGTAAGTTTAGATGAGGAAGAAACTTTTTTCCCTTACTAAATCATCAGAAAAATTAGAAATTTTCTAAAGTCATGTTCACTAGATCGAGAATTTATGTTTGCTGCTATATATTTCCTATATAGCATATTCCTAACTTCCCTGTTTGAATATTAAAGATTACCATTCTCAACCTTACAGACAGCTATGAAAAAATGAATGTATGGTTGGGATGGTAGCACTATAAATTGGTAAGACACTTTGGAGAACAAATTTAAATTATCCTTGATACAGTAACATTTGTATATCATTATTTGCAATACAGAAAATTTAGACACAAAAGTATGTAAATGTCCACTAATAATGGTAGCTGTTAAGTGTACTATAGTACACACACACTATGAAATACTACAATCAAAAACAAGGGAAAATATATATACCCTGGTAGGGAAAGATCATTTTAATACCTTTGAAAGCAAATGCAACTGCAAAATAAAAAGTACCCCATTCATGCTATGAATGTTTACATGTCTGTCTCCTGTACCAGACTCTTGAAATTGAGAGAATTTCTAGTTAGTTCTCTGCTTTAATTAGTTTTACAATTTCTGTAGAACTGGAAAAGTCACCACTCAAAATGTCCTCCAGCCACTTGTGCTATTTATCTATCACTACGTAACAAAGCACCACAAAACTCAGTGCCTTAAAATGACATTTATTATTTCTCATGATTCCTGGAGAAGTCAAGATGTTATCTTCTTGAGTGCCATCTGGATTTTTTTTTTTTTTTTTCTGTTAGCCTAATTGTCTCTCAGGGACTCTTTCTCATTTGGTGGCTGGAGCTGGAATGTCCAAGACAGCCTCACTTCCATTTCTAACACCTTTGTGGGAAAGAGTAGGCTCAGCTGGAAGCCAGGATCGTGGGTCCTCTTTCCACATGTAATCTTGGTGCTGCTTTCTCTGTAGCTGGTCTTTCAACATCACTCCAGCAGGTTACCTGGACTCCTTACATGGTGGCTCAATGTTTCCCAAAGTGCAAAAACAGAAGCTACCAAGCTGTCTTAAGATTTAGGCCTGAAAACAGGCATAGCATCACTTCAGCTGCATTGCATTTATTAAAATGAGCAACGGGGTAGGGCAGACCCAATGTGGAAGGGTGTGAGTATCAAGAGACATTATCATCGAGGGTTATCTTTGGAGTCTAACTAGTATTGCGCTTATTGGAAAGTTCAAGCATGGAACATAGTTGATTCTTCAAGTGCAAAAGAGCAGGAGGACAGATCTGGAGACAGCAGTCAGCTCTTGGCTATACTTCAGGCAGCAGGGAAAGTCTAGAATTAGCTATCATGATTCCTAATGATTAGCCCCTGCTCCCCCTCTCCAAAATAAACTTGTAGAACTCTCCAAGTGACATGCTACACTAGCCACCCTTTCCAGTACAAACTATAAAGCCTATTATTTTTAAGATTCAATGAAGATGAAATAAATACTGGATGAAAATCTCTCACTAAAATTTTGTAAAATGTTATAAAGCTACAAGGCACTGTGTAAACTGTAAGCAGCTATTATAATTAAACCATAATCTATGTCACGTCATCACTTTTAAGTGCTAATAACAATGTAGAAAATACTTGGGTGGTTCTCACCAGTCCAAAGCAGCTTATACTTACCTTTAATCAGGGATCTTCTATAGATACAGACCAAACACAAGTTTCA